AAAGAACAATTTTCGCAAGATTTTCAATGACGACCATGATTCTTAGCATTCGGATAGACTACTCACTAAAAAGGAAGATCAAAATTATACCATTGATCATAGAAATCAGGCATTGAAGGTGAAAGGATCTTTGAAAAGGATGGAGAATGACAAAACAATTTGACTGAATAATATACCTATTGAGGCTTGGAAGGTTCTAGGAGAGGGAGAGCAAGACGTTAGTTGGTTGAAATTGTTTAATAATATTATGAGGTCAAAGATGTCAGACGAGTAGATAAGAAACATTTTATTCTTTATCTAAGCTCATAAGAACAAGAAAGATATACAAGATTGTGCTAAGTATAGGGGAGATTAAGCTCATGAGCCATACTATGAAGCTACGAGAGAGGATAATTGAGCGGAGGTGAGACAAGAGACACATATTACTGAAAACTAGTTTGGTTTTATGCTGGAGATGTTGACCATGGAGGCTATATACTTTTACGACGATTGATGAATAGATACTGAAGGAACCAAGTGGACTTGCATATGGTTTTCATTGATTTGGAGATTTATGATAAGGTGCCTAGAGAGGTATTGTAAGAAGCTTTAGAGCAGAAAGAAGTCCAGGTTGCCTACATTCGAGTAATCAAGGTTGCCTACATTCGAGCAATCAAGGATGTATATGGTTAGGTCAATAGTGTGAGAACACAAGATGTGGTCTCAGAAGGTTTCCCTATTGCTATAGGACTATAATAAGGGTCAACATTGAACTCCTACATGTTTACATCGATCTTGAATGTGCTTATTGAACATATCCAAGAACCAATGCTACAATGCATGTTTATGTGGATGATATTGTCTCGGTTGGACACTCAATAGAGGAATTGAATGGGTAGTATAAGTGTGGAGAACAGTTTCAGAAGAACATGGCTTTTGTATAAGCCAAAGAAAGATGGAGTATATGGCATGTAGCTTTAGCAAATAGCAAGAGACAAAAAAAACATATTGTAGAGGTAAAAATTGCAGGTCATACTCTACCACAAGTCACTTAATTTAAGTATATTGGGTCAATCATACAACACAATGAATAAATTGAGGGAGATGCAAACCACAAGATTCAAGTGGCTTAGATGAAAAGACATAGTGTTTTCAATGTCATATGTAATAGAAATGTGCACTAAAACTTAAGGGAAATTTTACCTTACAATTATAAGACCCGCTGTTATTTGGGATTGAAAGTTGGGTGGTAAACTGTCAACAAGAAAATAAATTGAACGTATAGATGATATGTTGTGTTGGATGAGTGGACAACTAGACAATATGAAATTATGTATGGATGCATTAGGGAGAAAGTTGGGGTAACTTCTAATGCATAAAAATGGTAGAATCACTGCCTTAGGTGATTTGGACATGTGTGGAGAAGACTGTTAGAAACCCCAATAAAGAGAGTAGACTAAATTAAGGTAGTCTAATTTCTAATGGCAGTGAGACTAAGAAAAACCATAAGTGAATGATTAGGAAATATTTAGAGATTAGTGTTTTGTCAACGGACATGATGTATGATAGAGCAGTATGACATCTTTTGATTCAGGTAGCCGACTCCACCTATTGAGACTAAGGCTTAGTTGTTGTTTTTTTCTTTCTATTTATGAGCCTTTATATATGTACAGTTTGTTTATGGTCTCTTACATAATCCATGTTTTTCTCTTTCACATTGACCTTTGGTTTATCAAATTAAATATATTGTAAATTGGTCGATTCCATCAGAGATCTTTGGTGGAGATGATGTGCAGTTTCTTTGTTGCATCTTGGACTGGAGTTGTCAAGTATCATGGACCAAGGCCTAGTAGGCGACCGAAACAGGTTTGCCTAACATCTATTGACGTTGCCATATTTTATGCATTCAATTAAGAGTGTAAGAGTAAATGTTCTCTTTTTACTAGTCTAAGCTTTCCCTTCATTTGTTGATCAGGTTTTTGTGGCCAACCATACTTCCATGATTGATTTCATTGTCTTAGAACAGATGACTGCATTTGCTGTTATTATGCAAAAGCATCCTGGATGGGTTGGTAAGCATATAGAACTATTATGTGTTTGAACATAATAATACACAGAACCAGTGTCTCCATAATCAATTTGATGTTTATTTTCTACGCATTGGCATGTTGGTGTTTGTATAGTTGCACGGGTTCTAACTTCTAAGAGAATGTATGCAGTTAGCACAATATATGAGAATAAAGAAGCCCAAGTTGCCCTAGTTGTTAGGCACACTGAACTCTATCTTTTTTTGTTGATCAATCTAAATGGTTACGAGAAAAGTAGAGTATGTGATGAACAACTAGGGATGATTTAAAGAAACATGTAGCTTGGTAATGTTGAATCAATATTGTGTCTATCTTGAGAAGAATTTATTTATGCATTTTATTCAAAGAATATGTTCTGTGCAGGGTTGTTGCAGAGTACCATTTTGGAGAGTGTAGGATGTATCTGGTTCAATCGCGCAGAAGCGAAGGATAGAGAAATCGTGGCAAGGAAGTGAGTATAAATGAAGATGTTAGAAAATGCATCCGAGATCTTATTCCTTATTACGTATACGATTTTTCATGTTTCAGATTAAGGGATCATGTCCAAGGAGCTGACAACAACCCTCTTCTCATATTTCCGGAAGGAACTTGTGTGAATAATCACTATACAGTCATGTTCAAGAAGGTATGTGAAACATTTGCAAATGAAGTAAATATTTAATATGAGTTATGGCGTAATGCAACAATTCATCGAAAAGTTTATATTTTTCTTCTTTTATTTTGTCCCTTTTTACTTCTATTCTTGTTTCTGTACTCAGCGAACTTTTATTGAAGCCTTCTGATCTTTAATTATGTATAGGGTGCTTTTGAACTTGGCTGCACAGTTTGCCCAGTAGCGATCAAGTACAATAAAATTTTCGTAGATGCCTTTTGGAATAGCCGAAAGTACGGTGATGCTTCTCTCGTTTTAATCATTTCAACTATGCTCTGTTTGATTGTTGCAATACAGGTTCTGATTTCCTGCTTTATGCAGGCAATCATTCACTAAGCATCTTTTGCAGCTAATGACATCTTGGGCTGTTGTTTGTGATGTTTGGTACTTGGAACCACAAAATCTGAAACCAGGAGAAACAGCGATCGAGTTTGCGGAAAGGTAAATAAATAATCTTGATCTAAGATTGTACCGAGAAAAGGGCTATGCATGGCTTTCTCCAAATGTGAAATTTGTGTCTATTGTTGCAGGGTGAGAGACATAATATCACAACGTGCTGGTCTTAAAAAAGTTCCTTGGGATGGATATCTGAAGTATTCTCGTCCAAGTCCAAAGCATAGGGAAAGAAAGTAAGTTCAATTTCCAATTTTTTCTAAGTTACTTTTGTTTCTTGTATAGTTAGGGACTCTAGATTATCCTCTCATTTTTTGCTGATGATTGAGGTATTCTTTTAGGAAATAAGTCTTTTTGTTTGTGAGGGTAAGACTGCATTCATTTGCCGAGAAAAACTTGTATGGAGACGTATACAACACGTCATATTCAGAGACGTGTGTATTTATGTTTTTTGGTGCTATCATTTAGGACTAAATTTTAATAAAAATTAAATTTTTAATGTGCCATGAAGATTTTATTGATTGTATTTACATACATACGTTTTCATACAAGTATTTCTCACATTTGCCCTCCTTAGACCTCATTAGGTGGGCCAGGAATAAGTACTTGTGTGTCAGCATTGAGCAATATTTGAACATTTCTTCTACATTACAAATTGGATTGGTAAAATGGTATAGTAAGATTTGAAAAGTGTTGATCTTGTAGTTGTTTTGATTTATTTGTTATCATGGATTTGTAGGCAACAGAATTTTGCTGAGTCAGTTCTGAGGCGCTTGGAGGAAAAATAAGCATGTCCCTCATGTTACATTATTCTTAGTTTCCATAACATGTGCCTCATGTACATTATTCTTAGTTTCACTATTCTACAACTTTTACTTCCTTTTTTATATGCTGCTATTTAATATTTAAATTCATGTTTATTCAGATATACATAATACAAAGTTGCCTCATAAATCTTGGGCTGAGAAAGCTAGATTTTTTTAATGTTGAATTTTTTTGTATGCACATAATGTCCTCACTCACTAATGAGAAAAGTTGTGTATAAGATCCATTAAAATACCAAAAAGTTAATTAAATATAACTTTTATAAGAATGTAACTGATATATAAATATAAGAATACTAGTGGATGTTGTGTCATTATGGGCCTCCAATAATATGAATTGTATCATCAACTAGCAATAGCAAATTAATATGAATTTACTAAAACCGATTTTTTGAAAAATTTAAGTGATTATTCCAAAGAATAATTGAAGAATGAAAAATTTCTTTTACAAAACATTAGTTTCAATTGGTGAATTAATGTAAGTCATTTTAATGTATAATAGTGTATAAATTGTATCATGTAGTTCAGTTTTATAAATTAATCTGAAATCTGAACCTAATGGTTCTTTACAAATTCAATCCAAATGCAACTCCTGCCATTGAATCTTCAGCCTCTATTGTGCTCTTAAATTCAGTCTCAGTAGTTCTCTTCATTAAGTGGAACAACTAGTATTAAAAAAGAAAGATCTTGTTAAAAAAGGAGTGGTCCACCTAGTGATGAATTTTCAATATCCAATGAATTTCAAGTTTCAAAACATAATTTCACAAAGTCACCATCATTACCATGCAACCAGTGTTTTAAATTGCAGTCTCGATTACATTATGATTTCAATCGTTGTGCTTATAGGCCCAACGAGTATTGCATCGTAGATTGTGGTGTCAATTTTTTAGTAATGAAAAACTGTTTTTAATTTAATGTGGTTTAATGTAGTTGCATGTGCCCCAATATGACCATATAATTATGACTCGGTATCATACCACAATTGCGGGGGTGATACGATTATAGAAGTCACGCAATATTGTGATCGCTTTACATAATAATAATGTAGTCCACAATTTGACACAATGCTTGGGATGATACAATTGATTACCATATAATAATAAAGTAACATCAAAGGTTCTATTCATATGCTACACTATATTCAACTGTGCACAAAAATGGCAGCCACATCTGATACATGTTACTGATCTGGGGCCAAAGAGAAGGGAAAGAATAGGGGCACCCCAGAACCAGGATTGGGTCTATACATAAAAAACTTGACCAACATTTAAGAGACTTTCATGAGGTACATTTAAGATCACACTATGTTCCCTACATATCTTAGTAAGAAATGCATATATATAATCAATAGCTATTTTCTTGTAGAATGTTGATTCCCTACTTGCCCTCACTATTGTGTTTCCTAGCATGTGAACCACCCCAGCATCCTTGCAGTTGTTCAAATATTCAAGTTCCTCAATCTCAATCTTGATGCTTATAGGTGATGGAGATGTGACTGATACTATTGAGTCTAGTGATGTCAATGTTAAATCCAAATTCGGCGAATCCATGTTTCTGTTGTTCAAAATGCCATCTATAGATTGTTCATATAAACTGTATTCATCTGAGTCTGATCCTCCTTCCATCATAGCCTCGAGTCGAACAAATACGAAAAGGTTATGAAAGAGTTTTTTCTCAAAATCATCGTCTTTCTTATGCAGGTCTTTATAGCCGTATCGTGCAACACATCGAAACATGTGGAAATTCTTCGGTCCAATTCGCTTGACAAGGAATCGCTCTTCGTCTGGGACAGTGTAGACAGGAAGATATTTCACGCATACAAAAACAACAACAGAATGGATGGCTGGTAGGTTGGTGATGAAATGAGAAAAGATGTGAGGGACTCCACTTGCAAGCTCTGTGTAGACTAATCCGATTCCGGGGACACGAACAAGCCCTAAACTTGGGCCGAGACCAAGAATCCAAGCCATCGAGATCTTACTATGCATTTCGAACTCGTATCGTTTTCTTGTACCATAATGCCAAACATACATAACAATTAGAAAAGCTGCAGCAATTACAAGGGGAGCCCATCCACCTTGATCGACTTTGAAGAGTACAGCGGTGAAGTATGTGCACTCGACGATCAATGATAAGCCGGTGAAAATGAGGACAAGAATCCAATGACTGCGCCACACTAATATCATGATCAAAACCATAAGCAATGTGGTAACCAGAAAGACTATCACAACTGCAGTACCTGAAAAAGGATGCAATGATATTCTAAATCAATGAGTGTAATAAAGTTCTGTAAACTGCATTTTTTTTTACTTGTGAAAGATCTTATGCACATATAATACTTTTATAGACCCTTTGATGTAAGAAAATATGTAGCATTATATGCCTCAATACTCAACAAGGGAAAAACTTACCGTATGCATTTCCGATCTGGTTTTGTTCTTTGAACCCGGCCGTAACAGCAATGCAAAGAATCATAAGGATCCAATTGATATCTGGAATATATATCTGGCCAAGGAACTTCTTTGATGTATGTACAACTTTTACTCTTGGGAAACAACCATGAGCAAGGGCTTGCTTAATAATCGAAAAAGTCGCGGTTATTGTGGCTTGGCTTGCAACTATAGCTGCTGCTGTCGCGACAGCGAATACTGGCCAGTATATAGTCTCTGCAGAAACTAAAGATAATCAAAATTTAATAGATAAAAATACTACGCGAAAAACCAAATTTGCATCATTCTAACAAAGCAATAGAGGATTATTGAACAGGCTTTTGCATCTGGATCAAGATACAGTGCAGTCACTTAAGTAGATTTAGCAAGGGAAATGTAAGGGACAAAGAAATTTGGCAGTGAATCAAAGAATTTACTATGATCTGCAGTTTTAGGTAAATTTAGATTAGAACAAGGCTTCAACAAAACTGAAAAACAACATTAAATTTTGACTAAATAACATTAACACAATTGTTGAGAAACCATGTCAACCATTTCTCTCTGATCTTGATAACATAATTTTAACTCCTTACCCAAATATTTTGCATGAATATGATTCCACTGACTTAATTTGAATGATTTTTTTCTTCCATAGAACAATGACTTAATTTGGATTAGATTTACATCATGATAAACACAATACATATCTTGTTCAACACATTAAAGACTTCAATAAGCATAGATGCCACAAACACATCCCCATTGCAGCAAACAAACCTGTCTTAACTCACCATCTCTCTTAAAGTGAAAAACAACACATGGTATGTTAGAATCTATATCATGTCGAAGTGAGCCAACATGACCCAACTCACTTCCCCCGACACATGGTGAGTCAACTAAGACACTTATCAATACATGGATCAAGATACCGAAAAAGAGAAACAAAAATGAAATATAGTAAGTCTGCCACGGAGTTCTGTAGTGAGAATTTGACAATATACTTGTTGATTGCACTCTAAACACCATAGGAGCATCACAAATGAGAAAATTAAATATGTAGTGACAAACAATACAAACCTGGAATAGAGCGATAAAAAACATCGGGTGAATGATTCAGGTTATTCATCAAGTAAGCAGCCTGACCAGAATAAGCCAACAGAAGGCAAGGAAACACAACTAGTGTAAATGCAATCTGTACAGATAAGACTGGAAAATGACCGAGGTCGGCAAATAGTGCCTCTGTCCCTGAAATAAATCATCACAAGTTGTCAAGTTGAAATTAGCTACAACAAACCGACACGAAAGCCTTAATCTCACTAGGTGAGATCGGAGTCAAGTTCAAATTAATTATTCGCTTAATTTATTAATAGTTCAGGAATACGAGGAAAGGAAATCGGCAGCAATAAAAACTGAATTTGCCTGTTATGCAGAGCAAGATGCCACCAAGGGAAGTCCAACTTTCTTTTCCTCCTCTCTTTAAATACCGATATATATACACGGGTGAAAAAGCTCTTAGAACATCGCTCCCATGTTTCCAGAGGTTGAATATACCTATACCACCAATTAGGAGAAACCAAAGAAGGACAATTGGTGCAAACAACCAACCAACTCTATCTGCACCATAATGCTGCATGCTGAATAACCCAACTAATATTACAACAGCAACCACAACAACAACATCTGTAACCCAGAAAAAAGAAGTTTTGAAGACTACCAACTTAAAATCAGTGGAAATTATACACATAAGAGTGAAATAAAAGGACAATGTGATGTTGCAGGAATAGGAACATACCATTACTCAAATCGGGGTGATTTACCTTGATGCCGCCAGAAGCCGATAAAACTACAATAGAAGATCTTATTGTGAATATCTTTAATTAACTGGAGATGTATAGCAGATGATATCAAAAGGAAAAAAAGTAATTGCAGCAAATTATTTTGTTTGTAATCTCGAGCCTTACATAATAGATCATACATGATATCAAATAAACTAAAATAAGTTAATCTATAAATCATTCATACTAAAGATTTTCCACCATATTTTCATTGAATAATAATAATACATGAAACAAGCACCATGGAGCCACAACACTATTGAAGATATTCATAAAAGGAGGTGTCCTCATTGTTGAAGGTATAGCCATCATTCTCAACCCAATGACACAAAGTGATGCAGATTGCAGGTAGAACCACTAAGAAAAACAGACCCTTCCTGAAACTAAATTTTCTACAGTACATGATGGATCATTTTAGCTTACACCACAAGCAAACAATGCACACAATGTTCTTATTTCTTCTTTGCTTGAATATTAGGATTACTAGTATTGGCCTTGGCCTTGGTCATATGTACTAGTGGTAGCACTTGTAATTGACCTTATTAATAGTAAAACAAATAGAGGCATTGAGTTAAAGTATTATTATATAACATCTAAATATCAATCTCATATCATATTATTGAGTATCTTTCTTCTCTTTTTCTTCTTTCATTTGTTTTCATTTTGTCCCATTAAATCCTACCAGTTCCTAGCAAGGGTACTAACAACAGAAAACTGAACAAGTGTTTGAATCTGGCATGCATATTTTCAGAAGAACTGCAACCGCTATCATTACCAAGCCCTGAATAATTCTGCACCCCATTTTCTCTTTTATTTCTACATCATTTAATATTTCTTACTACAATAAAACGACTAATAATAACATATCAAACCAAGCACAAACCAATTTAAAATACCAATCGTGTTTATGTAACACCTTAACCTTGGCATGCGACTGTTACTAAGTGCACTACCCTTCAAGCTTGAATATCCTTGCACTATTTTATTCCCCTAAAGGGAGCCTCTCGACTCGAACCATAACCTCAGGGGCTCAATGGAATCAATGACTATAAATCCATGCGGTCATGGGTTCGAGTCGCAAAGACTCCTTCTTTGGAGAATAAAATACTGCAGGAGTATTTAAGTTTGAAGGGTGACACATTAACTAAATTCATGCACATAGGGTAGGGTCGCATGTCAAGGTTGGGGTGTTACAATATAAGTGTTGGATAATCAAAGAAGTCCCAATTGACAAAGAATGGACAAGTGAGAAACATTTAAGTGAATGAATAACCAACCTACTTGGGCAAATAGGAACAATAAGATATAGTACAAAAATCACACTGTTTTCCAATTATGTCCACATAACTGTTATTTCTAATCTCATAACACAAATTTATGATTTCCCTATACAGTTTGGAAATTTTGCACAAAAGTGAGTAATAAAATAAAGTAGTGAAGCATATAATGATAGGTAAGTTAAGACATAAAGCATACCAGAAATAGCTGGGGTAAGAATTCCATCTCCAATCATCATGCAGGTACCAACTAGGACAAGAATAAGAATGGCATTTTTAATATATCCTTTTCCCTCTAACCACCTTTTGGTTTTGTCAGCAAATGACCTTTCATGGATAGTAGACCGGCTATATGTCGTTAGCTCTTCATCGGTTCGATGTTGGTTCGGAATGGTTTTTATATTCGCGTGGCGGCAGAGCAAAGAATACAGAGCCAATGTTCCACCTGATACAAAGATTTAAGTTTGTAGTTCACTAATATCAAACAGATATGCAGATACTAGTGCACTTTACTTAGTTATTAAAGGAATCCACTTAGATTTTTAGTTAAAAAGTTAACTTACTAAACAAGAAATCTCATACTATTCAATGTGTAACTATTCTACTGCTAAATTCTCTAGAATTAACCATCATTGGCCACATACCAATCACAACAATTGAAATTCTAGTTTTCCTTCTACCCATTATTATTTTTCTTATCTTTACACGACTTTTTGGAGTCGCCAGCTGTTACGCCTCGATTTTCGATTACGGGATTTCTTATAACAAATAACTTAATGACCAGAAACAAGAAATTAGAAGAAAAAAGAATATATACCTTGGCCATTGTCATTTGCTCTTAATACAATGAAAACATATTTGAGAAGTGGAACGAGAGTAAGAGAGTAAATAATGAAGGAAAGAGCACCAATCACATCTTCTTGATATTTAACTCCATTAGGAAATGTATTATAGAAAACATACAATGGGGAAGTGCCCAAATCTCCATAAACTACACCAAGACTCTGATATGCAAGCCTTAGAAGTAACAGTGAAGACAATTTCTGAAAATATCAAGATCACATTAACACTGAATTATACACTAAACACCTCTACCAAACATAATATCACATTATTAAACCGGTTTTTTTGGTTGGGTAATAACAAGGGAATAAACTTTTGAGGTTGTCTACTCCGATAAATGTCCGATCTTTTGGTCTTTTTGGATCTAATGGACCTTACACCGCCATACCAATAATTTATTGA